CGTGGAGAGCAACCAGAAACTGGAAGTAAAAAGAAGAAAGAAGGAAGACATGTACACACAATGTAGAGAACCTGGCTTTGAATCCGTCTGTTATGAAAATCTCCGATGCTAGCAGAATGTACACAGCTAACATGCCAAAGGACTGTGATGGGGACAGGGCAGCCAGCCCATGAGGTTCATGTCATTGCAGATCATCCCTGTTTCTAATTAGCAGCTTTTTCTCCTTGCAAGCTGCCCTGCTTGAGAGAGAAGCTGGGACCAAACGTTGCAACCCTTCTATGTTACCCTTGGTGCTTGTGAGATACAACGCTGTGCGGCTGAGGGAAAACTTCCCTCAGTTTTCCTGAACTGGATAGAAATGATGCTGTCTCAGGGCTTTGCCTGTGGGGTTCATGGAAGCAATTTCTATAACCAGCTCCCTTCACCTCTGACGAGGAAGGACAGGAATATTCTTGCTGTGTCCTCACGGCACCCACCTCTGCTCGGGGCCATGAAAGAAATACTGCTCTTGGGCTCCAGAGCTGAGGAGACCCATTTACGCACATTCACTTTATTTACGAAAGGGATTTGAGGCAGCCAAGTGGACAGTGTTACCAAAACCAGATGTGGCGCCCAAGGCTAAACATCTTCAGCGTGTGTGCAGGAGTAAGAGAAAACGTGTTTGCATTTCCCCGGGAATGTCTGTACTGCACGTCTTGTGCTACGTGCTGATCTGTAACTAAGGCATGGTCTTTCCTCAGCTTATAAATATTTGTTTTGCCATGGAAGAGAGCGAGCCTCCCCCTTCATCATGAATTTGGTGTTTTTACTGCCACAAACGTTTTTACTGACGTTCTACAATTTTAACTCATCTGGGCGCCTGAGGTGAATTGTGGTTTTTACTCCAGAGCTGTTTCCAGCTTCCTGGCAGCCATTCTNAGGAAGGACAGGAATATTCTTGCTGTGTCCTCACGGCACCCACCTCTGCTCGGGGCCATGACAGAAATACTGCTCTTGGGCTCCAGAGCTGAGGAGACCCATTTACGCACATTCACTCTATTTACGAAAGGGATTTGAGGCAGCCAAGGGGACAGTGTTACCAAAACCAGATGTGGCGCCCAAGGCTAAACATCTTCAGCGTGTGTGCAGGAGTAAGAGAAAACGTGTTTGCATTTCCCTGGGAATGTCTGTACTGCACGTCTTGTGCTACGTGCTGATCTGTAACTAAGGCATGGTCTTTCCTCAGCTCATAAATATTTGTTTTGCCTGAGGAAGGACAGGAATATTCTTGCTGTGTCCTCACGGCACCCACCTCTGCTCGGGGCCATGAAAGAAATACTGCTCTTGGGCTCCAGAGCTGAGGAGACCCATTTACGCACATTCACTTTATTTACGAAAGGGATTTGAGGCAGCCAAGTGGACAGTGTTACCAAAACCAGATGTGGCGCCCAAGGCTAAACATCTTCAGCGTGTGTGCAGGAGTAAGAGAAAACGTGTTTGCATTTCCCCGGGAATGTCTGTACTGCACGTCTTGTGCTACGTGCTGATCTGTAACTAAGGCATGGTCTTTCCTCAGCTTATAAATATTTGTTTTGCCATGGAAGAGAGCGAGCCTCCCCCTTCATCATGAATTTGGTGTTTTTACTGCCACAAACGTTTTTACTGACGTTCTACAATTTTAACTCATCTGGGCGCCTGAGGTGAATTGTGGTTTTTACTCCAGAGCTGTTTCCAGCTTCCTGGCAGCCATTCTGGTTCCCCCGGGGCTCATCAGCGGCTCACTCAAGGCTTCTTGTTCCTCTTCTATAAACAATTTAATTTCTTTCCTTCTTCTTCTGGGGAGCAGAGGGTGAATGATTTCTTTTGAGGAGATTCAGGTTTAATTGCACCCTTATTAAACACACACACGCACACACAATACTTTACATGTGATTTGTGGGGATCGTGAAGGGGGCTTGTGGATTTCCTGAAGCTATTCCAGGCACCCCTGTTTAAGATGGCTTAATTTAATAGAAACATATTTATTATTTGTTTCAGATACTATGTTGGATAGCTGTCTATGTTCTCCTCAAAACTTCCTCCTTCAATGCCTCTACAATCTCCATCTGTGAACAGCTGTTCGTTGCTCTTTCAACAGAGCTGCCTGAGGGGTCAAGGGGTACAGGGAGCCCAGGTGGCCTAGGCTGTAGGGGCAGGTGTCAGGGCCCATGGTGATCACCACTGACATTTTAAACCCAGGCAAGGCTTTTCTGGCATGTATTTTCAAACACAGGGATTGGACCAAAGTTCTGGTGGGAGCCGTGGAGGTCCACAGCTCAGATCTCCCTTTTAGAGAGAATGGGCAGTGAGGGGGGCAGGCAGCAGACAGTCTCCTCTGCAGAGCTTTGGGGTCCGCCGCAGTGTTCTAGTGCAGACCACTCTCCTCAGAGATCTGCAGCCCATCGCTGAGTGTGGCGGGGTCCAAGGCCTGTCTGCCCCTGTGGGACTTCCCTCTGGGCAATCTTTGCACACTGTTGGGCTGGCCCAGGAGCTGCACCACAGCCAAGGTTCTTCCTGCAGATCCTCCCACACCTTTCCCCACCGATGTCACAACTGCATAGTGGTCCAACAGCTTTCTCTGAGGGTTCTTCCCCTCCGCCCTTGCCCCAATAAATCTCTTGCACTTCTAACTCCATCTTGGTGTCTGCTTCTGGGATAGCCTGAACTGACACGGCTTTACTTATAGGTGACACGGTTGGTCATTTCACACAATCCCACCTTACCTTCCCATATCTCAACCTGGAAACAGTTCCTGCATCTTGCCAACCCGTTTCATCACAGAGTTAAGAGTTTGTTGAATGTTGGGCTCCATCCTTCTAGCTATGCAAGTCATTAGGTTTCCTAGTACTGTCCCATTCAGCCTCCTCTAGGGTGTTTAGGGGTTCCCTAGATAAGAGACAGAGGCATGAGATGATCAAACACATACTTTATTTCTGTATAGATATTCTTTCCAGGATCCCAGACTGGAAAACATGGAAACCTCAGGAATGACCCCTCTCGATTTATATTCTTCTCCCCTAAAATCAAGCTAATGAGGTCAGCTCCTGAGTCCCCTTTCCCCAGGATTCCACTCAGTCCTTATGCCTTAGCATTCTGGAAGTAGGGGATGAAGAAGATAAGGACTCTCATCTTCTAGATCCTCCCATAAAGGGCCCCCTTTCCACCCCCCAATACCGTAGTCCTACAGTGAGTCCACAACATACTTGTACATCAGAGCTCCTCCCTGAGAAAGGAGGAGGGGGAGGAGGAGGAGGAAGTTGGCATAATACAAATAACACCTTGACAGCAACTGGTTCCCCCATTTTGGAAGTAACATAACAAAGATGGCCCCATGATGTCTCATATTCTATTACTACTGGACAGTACATCAAGGAAACACACTTAGGAGATAAGCACAGGGTGACAAATCTCTGTAAGAATGAGACTCATGCACAGAGCAAGTTGTGGAATTCCTCACACTTGGGAGCTGACAACATTTTTTATAAGTTAAATGGACATTGGAGAGTGGGTCAGAGGAAGGCTTGCTGGCACTCTCTGAGGGGATGTTTTGCCATATTCGACAGTGCCCAGGACCATCGCACAATCCCTCTAATTATGCATGGTGACTGTGATGCTCAGCCACATCCCTGCAGGTCTTCTGGACTGACTGGCGGCTCCCACAAAATCTCAGAAAACTCTCATTGCAGAGGCTAATCTTTGGCTCGATTACTCATGTGGAGTGTGGATTTAGAATGCTGTGGAGAATCTGCTCTCAGGTGTCCCCATGCTTCTGCGCAGTTGGACTCACTAGGACTGGAGAGTTAGTGACAGCAAGTGTGGCAGGCTCCTCAGGAGCAGAATGAGCTGTGTGTTCCCAGCTCAGTCCAGAGCAGATGCTCAATAAATCCCTGTTGAATTCAACTCTAACCTTCTCTTCTGTAGATGGGATGTCCCCAACTCCTTGACACTTTATTTTTGGGCACTTCTCTAGTCTTGCCAGTTCTTTACATCCTTCTGAAGTAAATAATAGATGGCAGGATTCTCTAAGTATGACTAATGCTTTGGGCACTGACTTTTGTTGCCCCTAACTTTTGTCTTCCATTCATATATCTGCACTGAGCTGGCTTTGCTTAAGTTATTTAATACTTCCCATGCTGCTTTGCAGAACATGGTTCTTGGGTTTTTCTGGCTTGTATTCATATACATCTTCCCCCGGTCCTGCCAATGCCCTGGTAAGGTTAGAGCCAGCAGGGCTGGTAAAGACTGTAAACCCTGTGGATAGCATTGTTTTCCCCTTAACGCTATGAATGCAGCACACATGATTCATTTTTAAAACTATGAGGAGGACATTCATGGATGTTTCATGAAGCTTCTGATTCCAGCCATATCTGGACAAAGCACAGATCTGGGAGAAAGACAGAAACTGCATGCTCACCTGCTGGAAACCCCAAAGCTGTGTTAGGACATAAAGCATTCAGTTCATGGCTTTCAGCACAGTGCCTGTTTCTTAGGGTTGGTGGGTCACTCTACCCTTTATAGTCAGGAGGCCAGCAAAGCCATGGGCAGGACGGGGAGATTCAGAGCGTCTGAAGGGCAGCCACAGGGTGCAGCATCCCCACTCGGAGGGTGTCTGAGCACACGTCTTATGCTTAAAGTTAAGAATCTGAGTTAGTGCACCTGCCCTAAGATACCCAAAAGGCCAGCACAGGAAGCCCAAATGCTTGTCTTCCCGGATGGTGTTCTTCAGCTGTGGAATTTAGCTTGCTAAAGCCTGGTGGAAAGATGCAGGCTTTGACACAAAGTCCTCTGTCTGTCAAAGGTCAAAACCTTGCAGGAGAAGGAATGTACTTGGGTTTTTAGGATAAATTGGACAATGTCTGAGACGGATATTTACACATGGTCTTAGCAGTTGCTATATCTCCAGGAGCTGGGGATTAGTTATGAGACTTGCTTTTCCTATTCTTTCTGAGACCATCAGTTTTTGGTGAAACAAACATGAAACTCATACCAATCACTGAATCATGGAATGTTAAGATTTGAACGGACAATTAAGTTAGGTAGTTCAGTCCCATTGTTTTACAAATAAGGAAAGAGGCTCAGACAGATTAAGCATGGCACAGGTCTCCCGACCCTTGGTCTGTAACAGTCGTTATCTGGTATCAGGGGACATATTTTGCCTGCTTCATTTGCTCAGCGTGGTTGCTGAGGAAGAACCTGAGCCTCTCAATTCCACGATATTTAAATGAATTGAAATACTGAGATGCTAGAAACGGACAGATGTATGTCTTCTTTTCACAAATGCTTAGAAGACTGGGTTAAATCTTTCATTCAGATTTTATGTGGCACCTTCTTTCATTCATGCTGTCCAGTGAAGACTGCTATGAAGTGAGCCCCAGCTGAAGGAGACTAATCTGAGCCCCACTGTGAATGACTTTACTGAAGGAAGACGCGGCTCTGGGCAAGCGAGCCAGTTGGGTGTGTGGCTCCGCTGCAGAATTTATCCTGAAAGATGCTCTCACATGCTGCTGAGGTCACTTCCACCATCATGAAATGGACTTTAGGGAAAGTTTAGACCAACCTGCTCATTTTACGGGCTCAGAGAAGTTCAGTGATTTACTTTGAGTCACATAGCATATGGGTGGCAAAGACAGGGAAGAAACCAGAGTTTTTCACTCCAGAATGGAATGTTTTTTTCTAAACCGTTCTTCCTCTTTCCTCAAGCTCCAAAGTTACAGAGTTTCTGATGGTCTCCAGATGAAGGAAATATCCATGTGAGAAGTGAAACAGGACAAAGACGGTGGTGGCTGCATCTGCTGACACCCCGCGGCCTAGGGGAGCATGTTGGAGGAGAAGCTGAAACTTTCTGTCATGGTCTTGGAGTTGCTGCGAGAGGAGCCATTGGAGGTCAGGTCCAGGGATGAGGGCATGGCCTTGGGGCCATCTTCCGGCTCCTCCTCATGGGCCCCCACCACTGTGGAGATGGTGGTCTCCAGGCGGCTGACTTTATACATGCTGCCTTGGGTCTGGAGGTATCGGGTGGATTTCATTTCAAGCCCCTCATAGTCGCCGGCACTGATGAAGGGGCAGCACCGGAAGGCATGCTTGAAGCCCAGACGGAACCTGGAGAGAGGGCAAAGGAAGAGGGGACCCTTGGGGATGGCCTGCTTTCAGAGAGCATTCCCACCACGGCACTAGTTCTTTAACACATAGACACACCCAAGTGTGAAGCTGCGCTATTATTTTTCAAGTTAACTGACAGCTGGAGATGTTGAAGCCAAAAAGATTTAAGGGTCAGTCATCAAGCTCAAATCCAGGACTAGAACCCAGGTTCACACGAAATGCATGTCTTTACTGAACTATGCTGCCTTCTCCTGTGTGGGGCCAGGAGACTTTGGATCAATTCAACATCAACAAAAAACATTCACCAAGTGTTTATTATGTGCACGGTACTGGGTTAGTTACTGGGTGATAAAAACACAAATCAAGACTCAGTCCTTTCCCTCAAGTAGCCCACTGACTGAAGTAGCATGCCTCAGTTTCCCTGTTTGGTAAATAGGGAGAATCAGCCTAACTTAGAGACATGCTGGAAAATTTAACCTAAAAAAGTTTAAGCGGGTCATCAAACTCTTAAAAGAAGGGTGAATTTGTGAGTTAGACTAACAGAGAGCATTTGGACAAGTGCAAGAGATTGTCTTTCCCCAAATTCATAGTACCTGAGTGTCTCATTCACAGAAGACACTTTACAGGCTGATGGCGGATGGATATAAAGACAGTAACATGCACTTTATTCTTTCCCTTTCTCTGTGTCCCCATCCCACATGGAGGCTGGAACCATGCTCTGGATGTTAGATTGTGCTGCACCAGTGGTGTCCCAGGCTCCTCTTGGGAACCCTCTGCATGCCATGGTGAATTCCCCATTGCTGACCTCCATTCTTGATGGGCTCTCCCTTCTCTTACTTATCTGAGGTTGGCTTTTGCTGTGGGGATGGCTCTCCCTAACTCCTCTGAACAAGTGAGGGCAGGAATCAGGCCTCTGACTCATTTTTGCTTATCCTGTCCTGCTGGAACTGCTGGAAGAAACTGGGTAAAGCTGCCCAGAGTGTACAATGGGATGGGAAGATGAAAGTGAGAGATGAGAGAAGGGAGCATGAGTCCTGTGGGGGATGGCATTCTAGTGCTGCTCCCCTCCTCCACCCCTCATATGTATAGCCCCTGTGTGCTGGATCCATAGCACAGAGTGAGAAAACTCACAGGCTATGCACTGCACCCAGCTTGCAGACCTGTTTAATATGCATCACAGAGGTTTTAAATTCCACACTGCCCCCTCTCCCAACTGAGTTGCCAGTATTTATTTATTTATTTATTTATTTGGCAGCTGGCCTGCATGGGGCACCGAATCCTTGACCTTGGTGTTACAAGACCGTGCTCTCAACTGAGCTAACCAGCCAGCATAGCTAATATTTAGAAATCAGAAGATTTCACATAAAAATTATAGATTTATGGTTCCTCTTGGAAAAGAAAAAAAAATCAGTCCACCCTGGGCTCATGTTCCTGCACAGCAATAATCAGCAGGGGCTGGGGAGTATGGTGGGTAGTTTGCTACAGCATCCACCTCTTGCTCCTGTCTCACAACTGGCTTTGCACATTTAGGTTGGATGCTTGGCTGCTGTATAGATGGATTGTCTTGTGGGCCCTGAAGGGAGTATGGGGGTGTGGTCCTCACCTGTCATTGAGGCAGCAGTAGATGATAGGGTTGTACATGGTGGAGCTCATGGCCAACCACATGATGGCCAGGTAGACCTGCTGAATAAACTTCTCCAGGTAGAGATCCGGGTTGATATAGGGCAGGAGGAAGAAGATGTGGAAGGGCAGCCAGCAGATGGCAAAGGTGCACACCACGATGATCATCATTTTGACCACCTGACAAGAGGGCCAAGACAGGTGAGACCAGCAGCACCTCCTCCTTCTCTCAGGTCTACTTCTTTTCTCCTCCTACCCTCTTAGTGCACACAGTGGGGTATGGGGTGGGAACTATTTCCGATAACCCTTTCAAGGAGGAGGAAAGATCTTTAGTATGCGGTGCTAAAGGACTTTGATTATGTCAGCAGTTCTCAGAGTGTAGACGCAGGACCAGCATCATCACCATCACCTGAGAACTTGCCAGAACAGCAAACTCTTGGACTCCACCTGTATTAGTCCATTTTCTGTTGCTTATAAGGGAATATCTGAAATTTATAAAGAAACAAAATTTATTTCTTACAGTTTTGGGGGCTGGGAAGTCCAAAGTCCAGGGAACACATCTGGTGAGGGCCTTCTTGGTGGTGACTCTCTGCAGTAATGCAGGGTGTCACATGGTGAGAAAAATGGGCTAAGCAAGAGTGAGCTAAACTTCTCACTCTCTCTCCTTATAAAGCCATCAGAACCATGTGCATGACAACCCATTAAACCATCATTACCCTATGAATGGACCAATGCATTCATCAGGGCACAGTCCTTAATAGCCAATCACCTCTTAAAGGCCCTGGCTTTCCAATGTCATAATTGGATTTCTGACCTTCTTAATACTGTTACAATGGAGATCAAGTTTCTAATACATGAACTTTCGGGGGACACATTTGACCTATAGCACCACCTCAGACTTACTAAATCAGAAATCCTGAGGGAAAGACCCAGAATTCCTCATTTGAGAGACTTTTCAGATAATTCTGATGCATGCTGACATTTGAGGACTACTGTATTATATTATCCTTCTGGTCAATGACTGGAGATGCCAAGGGAGACCACATTAATTAGCAAAGGTGAGTGGGTGTTCAGGAGGGAAAGGCCCAGGAAAGGGGGAAGTAGCAGAAGCGGGGGGGGGGGGCAATGAGCCAGGGCAGGCTGCTTGGTTAGGAGAGTGAGGCAGAGAGAAAGGAAAAGATCTGGACAACTGCAGCAAAGGAGTATGAGATGTTTAAAAGGCATTTAAAAGACACTATTATGAAAACTAGGTGCTGTGGTCTGAATGTGTCACCCCCAAGGTGATAAAATTAGGAAGGGGGGCCTTTGTGAGGTGCCGAGGTCATGGGGGCAGGGCCCTCATACATGAGATTAGTGCAGTTATGAAAGAGGCTGGAAGGAGACCCATTACCCCTCTGCCATGTGTGGACACAGTGGAAAGCACCATCCATGAACCAGGAAGAGGGCCCTCACCAGACACCAAATCTGCTGGTGCCTCGATCTTGGACTTCCCAGCCTCCAGAACTGTGAGAAATACTTCTGTGGTTTATAAGTCCCCAGTCAAACGTATTTTGTTGTAGCAGCCCAGATGGACTGAGGCACTAGGTCGATGCAATTCCCTTTCTTTTATCCCCTAGAAATCTTTAGTGAGAAACTATGTAGCATCCACACAATGAAATACTATGCAAAGAAGTACCAAAAGCAAAAAAAAAAAAAAAAAAAAGGATGAGAAAGCTTTTCATATATTGATTTTCAAAGACCTCATGGGTTTTGTTAACTGATAAAGTTGAGGGGAAGAACAGCAAAAAAGGAGAAGAGAAAATAATATTATTTACTTGGCTTATAAATACCACTATCTAGAAGGGTTAACAACACGTAATAACTTCGTATAGCATACATTATACGAAGTTATCGTATAAAAAACAAAAAAAAAAAAAAAAAAAAAAGGATGAGAAAGCTTTTCATATATTGATTTTCAAAGACCTCATGGGTTTTGTTAACTGATAAAGTTGAGGGGAAGAACAGCAAAAAAGGAGAAGAGAAAATAATATTATTTACTTGGCTTATAAATACCACTATCTAGAAGGGTTAACAACAAATAATAGTAGTTACAATTGTGGGCTGTGTGTGTGTGTGTGTGTGTGTGTGTGTGTGTGTACTTGGGAACTGGGTATAACGGAGGGAGCCTTTTCACAATAAGACTTTTAATATACATTTTTTTAACTTTTAATTTTGATCTAATTTAAGACCCCCCAAGAAGTTGCAAAAGTAGTACAAAGAGATCCCAGGTACCCTTCACCCAGCTTCCTCCAATGATGTCATCTTACATAACCATTCTATGTTATTAAAACCAGGAAACTGACATGAGTACAGTGCTAGTCACTAAACTACAGTTTTTATATGCACTCCTGTGTGTGTGTGTGTGTGTGTGTGTGTGTATAGTTCTGTGAAATTTCACTACGGGTATAGATAAGTGAAAACACCACCACAATCAGGATACAGAGCTGCTCCATCTCCACAAAGAAGCTCACTCACCTTCTCCCTTCACAGGCAGCCCCCACCCCCATCCTCGCAACATTAACCCCTGGTAACTCCTGATCTGTTCTCTATCACTGTAGTTTTGTTCCTTTTAAAACTTTTTGATGTTTGAACCATGTGAATGTATTACTTTGTCAAACTTTAATTAAATACAAAAAGAGGAGCAAATAACTCTTCAACGCTTTTGTAGGTGTGTGTGTGTTTTAATGGATTGACAGGCTGTAATTCCTCTTAAGGAGCGAGTGAGATGGCTCATGCCTGTATAGCCAGACCTGGGTGACAAACACACTGGAGAAAGGTCCCTCCCCTTCTCTCTGCTGTTCCCCAGACTCGGGAATGTTTTGTGCCTGCTGTCGTTGGGGCTCACCAGCTTGCCAGCCCTGCTTGCCAGCCTGTCGCCTGTGCCAGGGTGGGTTAGGTGCTGCCTGCCCCTTGCTCACCTTGCGCTTGGCAGAGACTTGCTCGTGGTAACGGTCAGAGGAGTCTCCGGGGATCTCGCTGGCCCAAAGGGTGATTCCCACCACTGTGTATGCATAGCCGATCACCAGCAGGGGGAGGAAGTAGATCAGCACAGTCACACAGATGTGGTACCTGCAACAAGACAGACGGGAGGGGTCAGTCTATGAAATAACAGAGGCGGCTGAGGTGTGGCAACTACTTTTCTCAGCATTTACCATTAATAAGCTTAGGCTATAAGGCACACCCTATGGAAGCTTGCCACCTGCATGGGGGTAGATGGGTGATATTAATGGATAAACTAGAGAAAGCATATCTCTTCAATTTATCTTTTTCTTGTGAACTTTTTCCATAGTGGAGATTCTTCCTGTTCACATTGAACAGAGAAAAAAACCCCAATAAACCATTGACAAGAAGGAACTGAATATGTTGTATACCTATGGCAATTTTAGTCGATGTTAAGTTCAATATCACTTACAACGTCCCTCCACCTTCCCAAAAAGAATGCAAACTTAGGCTGCATTATTAGAAGTATATTCTCTAGAATGAAGGAGGTGATTGTATCACTCAATTCATACCTGTCAGACTACACTTTTGCTCAATTTTAATGCAGGGATGTAGACCAACTAGTGCATTCAGATGGGAAGCACCATGATGGTTGATGAGCCCCAATCCATGCTATGTGTCAAATGGATTCATGGAGATCAGAATAATTAGATTAGATAAGACTAATCCTAGAAGTAGGTGGGTGAAAGCCACACACCGTAAGCCATTTCTAAGTCTGGCCTTTAAGAATATACCTCCAGATGGAAGCTGTCTGGGACTCTGAGTCACTACTTGGAGGACAGATGCCAGCTCACTCACATTTGACTGGGAAGTGAGCAAGAATTAAACCTTTGCAGTGTTAAACCACTGAGATATTGAGGTTTGTTACAGCAGCATGTGTTATCCTATTCTGCTTATGGCAAGGCTGATTCTAAGTAGGAGACTCAAACAAGCTTTTGGAATTTTGAGAAAAGATTTTTTTCTCAGGGGGTCCTTGGATTGTCTGGTTAGTTATAGCCCTTTTCCCAGATGTGAGTGTCACAGAGAGGCCCAGCATTCCTAATGAGCTCAGCTAATATTTTGGGGGACTTACTCTATGTCACTATGCTAATAATAATATTAATTATAATATTAGGAGCAGAAATGGTAGTTAAATTTTATTGAGTGTTTATGAAGAGCACAAAGCCAAGTATTTACTGGATTATTTTATTTAATCCTCAAAGCAAATGACTGGATAGGTACTATCATAATCCCATTTTGTAGATGAGGAACCAAAATTTAAAACAATTAATTTGTTCAAATTTACGGCTGGTAAGGGAAGGAGCTGGGATTGGCTGTGTCGCCTCAGGACCTGCCCAGGGAATGAGGGATGGAGCCCGGAACCGGACCCCCCCACAACCAGGCATACCACCAATGCCAAGGAGCATGCCAAAAACATCACTCCATGTGGGTGGCCCGCCACAGCCACCACAATAAGCATGGCTGCTGCGAAAGCAGCTAGATGCCACAAACACCATGCAAATGGTCCAGCAACCACTGGAGTGCATTGACACAAGGAGAGTCACAGGCAGAGACAAAGAAAAGAAGAGGATGTCTTTCTCCACAAAGCCCATTCCAGAGTGACAGAAGAAGCATCTGCTCTACGATAATATTGGGGGATCTGATCACACCTCTCAGCATTGAACAGGTCATCTAGGCAACAAATCAACAGAGTAACCATTATTCTTTCAGAGGGAGAGAAGAAATCTAGGGTAATTGAGGGTGGGGTGGGGGGATAGGGTGAGATTGGACAAGGGGCATAAAGAATAAGTATGATTTGTAACAATAAATATGCTAGTAATATTGATTTGATCAACATATCTCAATGTTGAACCCCCAAATATGTATAATCAATTTTGACTCAATAAAAATTAAAATAAATAAATAAATAAAAGTTAAGCTTTCAATAAAAAAAAAAAGAAAATAGGGCTGTGACCCCAGAACCAGCTTCTTGTCACAAGAAAAGTCATCCAATGATTTTTTTCTTCCGCTCTGTTTACCCTTTATGCTTATTCTCTGCAATGATTTTGTTCCTATAAGGAAAACTCACGTATTCACTCAATTTCTCCTTTATTGATACTCTTTGCTTTCAGTCAGTTCTTTGTTAAACCCCAGTTTTGCTACTTATTCAGCTCCCTCAGTATTAAAATTTGCAATTTGAAGATATTTGAAAAGTTCTTAAGTAATGAACCACAGATTCAGCAAATCTGAGTGCTGAGCACATCTGTGCTGTACAGACAGGCTGCTCTAGTCTCACCAGGCTTTCAAAGCTCCCTAGATTGTCATGTCCTCTGGAACCTCTGGGTTCTGCAGCCACCATGGGAGTGACAGCATATTGTGTTTCATACCTGATCCAACCTGATCCCAGTCCCTACTTCTGGTTGCTTTACTGACAGTGCTTGCAAGCAAAGCATTTGGACACTACAGGGGCTGGGAGAACCTGAGAAACTCCAAGTTGCATAGACTTCTACCTCTAAGAAGAGCCCTGCCTGACACACAGGCTGATACTTGGTTAGTGAAGAAAACATGTTAGAGGAGCTTTGCCAGGCCACTGCCTCGGAGTTCTGAGTGCTGATTGTCAGGGTCAGGGATGTGATGGGAGGACACTGCAGTTAAGTTTCCATTGCTCCTTATCCTGGACCAATGTCCTCAAACTTGAGCAGGCTTCAGAATCACCTGGAGAGCATGTACGATCACAGAAGGTTGGGCCCCACCCAGTGTTTCTGACTTGGCAGGTCTGGGTGGGCCTGAGAATCTGCATTTATAACAAGTTCCCAGGAGATGCTGCTGCTGCTGTTCCTGATTCAGACTCTGAGAAACATTGTCTTGGACCAATGGTTCTCAACCCCAAATGCACATCAGAATCACCAGGGAAGCTTTTAAAATAATCAGTGCCCAAAGGTACTCATTCAATGGACCTGGGTGTGGGAGCAAGAAACTATATTTTAGAAAATTCCCCAAGTTATTCTGATATACAGCTAGCATTGAGAACCACTGTTTCAGACCTAGATTGGTAAGCCTGTAGGGACCCGACTGTTGTTTGTGATTTAATGATTTCATTAAAGTGTGTTTTAATCATGTTTTCTGGTTTCTGTATCTTATGCTTTGCATCTGGGGCCTTGCAGATCAGGGAGGGACTGCCTCTTCCAGGCCTAGCTACTTCCTAGAGACAACAAAGGGCTCTCCTGCTAGAGTGCCTTTCATATGCAAACTAAACAATCCTATGCCCATACCCCCACCTGCCTGCTTTATTGGGCAGACACTATTCTCCTGCCCTAACCACCCTGAAGTCAAATATCAGACAACTAAGAACAGCCCCTACATTCTCAAGCCCACAAAAATTATTCAAGTTAGCCAATCTTAAACTTGCTCACCCTGCCTCACTGGTTCCTTCCTGAGAAAACTCCAAAAAAGGCTTTCCTCTGTGGCATGGTATGGGCCTAAGCCCCTTCCTCCTGGGAACTGTGAGTAATAAACTATCTTTTCGATGACAATCATGCCCTGATCTATTAGCCTTATCATACCTGAATACAAAATAAAATCTATATTTAAAATGATGTGTCCTTTGGGAAATCATGGGCCAGACCATCAGGCAAATGCTAAGATGAATTAGTAAACATAATGTATCAGCCTTTTTAAAATCTGGGCTGGCCACGTGGGTCACTCAGGAGAGTGCAGTGCTGGCTCCGTCCCAACTGATGAGCTATGTGCTGGGTTGGGGTAGAGATGGTGAGCCCAGCGTGCTGATTTTGATCATTAAATCCTGCAAACGGGCTTATTGGAATTTTCAGAAGGAAGGCGCCTGGAACAACTATTTACTCCTCTAAGCAGCAAATGGAGCTTGACACATTTTACAGGATAAGCTTGCTGAATACAAACCATGAGCCCCAAATCCCACAGATTCCCTTGTCCTTAGTGCTGTAATACCTTAATGCCCACTAATACAGGTTTACTCATGTCTCACTAGCGGGAGTCACCTCCTTGTTCAAAACATCAACAGTTTCAGTTTCTCAGATAATCCTCAGCATTTAAAATCAAGATCGATAGGTTTATTAAAAAGTAATTAGGTATCTTCATAATGTACTTGGTGGAGACTCTAGGTGCCTTGGGGTAGGGGAAAAAAGAGGCCAGGATGGGGGCTCTGGGTTCCCCATCCTCACTCTAAGGATATAACTCTGCTTTGCTGGGTTTATATATCGGCTGTCTGTGGATGGTTTTGTTCTGGGGTGAATGGGTGGGAGATTTCAGGTGTTACAGAAAAGTTGAAGAACACTGATGTAATCCCACCCCCCATTCAGTGCATTAACCCTCTCTGCAATATCCATGCTACATAATCATCCAGCATCTTCTCGAATTCCACCTGTAACATGCTGCTCACTACCTCTAAAGGCAAGCTACATCAGTGATCCTTGAGAGCTTGTTAGAGATGCAGACTCTCAGGCCCCACCAAATCAGAATATGCATTTTAACAAGACTACCTGGTGATTCACGAGTAAGTTCAAGTTTGAAGCACACAGCTCTCAGTCTTGTCTGCACATTGGAATCACCCGGGGATCCTTAAAAAATTTGAATGTGTGGATCCCATTCTAGAGCTTTGGATTTAATTGGTCTGCGATGCAGCCTGGGCATCAGTGTTTCAGAAACTCACCAGGCGACCCTCCTGTGTGGTCAGGGCTGAGAGTCATTGGCATTGAGACTCCCATTGCTGGCAGCTGAGACAAATGCAGTTCCTCCTTAAATAGAGTGAAAACTTGTGGCCCTGCAGCTTTTACTACTTCATCATAGGTCACAAGCAACAAGCTGAATCCACCTCCTCAGATGGTCCTGCAAATACAAGGTGACCGTGAACCTGCCTTTCCTCAGAACACTTTTTGCATCAAGGATTTTGGGGTCATCTCTCATTTGATACATGAGCAGGCTCATCCTCCTGCTGTTCCTCAAATGTCCCCCAGGCTTACAGTGTGCTGCTAGATGCTTGACTTTTTGCTTCCTAGAAAAAAAAATCTGCAAATCAGTGTGGTTTCTTTGTAGTAAAAGAAAGCAAAACTTGT